CAGATCCATCTAACCAGCTCAGGCCTGAACACATGTGGGGTGAAGGGCCTGCACCCCATTCTACTTGACAGGGATGACCAGCCTCAGAGGGGTCTGAAGCAAGAAGAGGGAGCCATTGCTCCCATATGAAAATATTTTTCCCTGTTTTCAGCCTTGTTTTTCTTCTCCCGTGGGGTCAGTGATTTGGGGGTGGAATAAAGGTGGAGGACTAGCTGACTAGGGACGCTGCAAACGTGGAACAATTGGTTTCCCTCAGAAATGGTCACTTCAGGCCTGGGGGGGGGGGTGTAGCTCAGTTATAGAGTGCTTGCTTAGCATGCAAGAAGCCTTTGACCTTCAACACTGCATAAATTAGCAAGATGACCAGCACCTGTAATCCCAGCACTGTCAAGGTGGAGGCAGGCTCACAAGTTCAAGGTCATCCTCAGCTACTCAGTGTCTTTAAAGAAAAGAAAGGTACTGCCATTTTTGGGCAGACCAGTGACATCTTTATTAATGACCAGACACCCAGCTCAGCCAGGGAGCTCCTCAATGAGAGTCCTTGGAGCAGGTGGCACCGGGCCTCCCCAAAGCCGCTCCAGCTCCCCAGTAAGGGTTGCCATCTCCTCGGCTGTGACAGCATGGGCTCGGTGGAGCCTGGCACAGTCTAGAGCCAGTGGTGTGAGGGCAACCTCATTTTCGTTGGTCCAGGCCAGGAGGAACTGGCACTTCTTCCGAGCCCGGTAAAGGCGATTTCGCTCTTCGCTAATCACAGCCTGTTTCCGGGCTCGGCCCAGAGTCTGGGCCAGGTGCCCTAGTGCTGTCAGCGTGTAGCCTTTCTGGTTGACAGGACCTTCACCCAGCAGAATACGAGCAACCTCTTGCATAGCACCCCGCGTACCCAGAGGCCCAGGTGGGTGTTCACCCGCTTCCAGCACGTGGGCTGCAGCCTGCAGGGCTTCCTCCGTAGAGTCAAAGACTTGCTGGGCGCCCAGAGCTCCAGAAACATCAAGCAGCGTGGCACAGAAATCAGAGAGTAGAGCGTCGTCGTCCCCTCCATGATACAGGGCGAGAGTGTGAGCGTAGGCGAACAGCACATTGGGCAGCTGGAAGCGTACGAGTGGCGAGGCCGGGCTGCGGCTCAGGCTGGCCAGCGCTGGGATACGGGAGGGCACTGCGGGCCGCCCGGCTGCAGCTGAGTCTTCAGCAGGGAGCACCGCGGCGGCGGCATCATCCACAGATTCGGGCGCGGTTCTCTCTGGGGCGGGTTCTGGCTCCGAAAGATCCCTGTCCGGGGCACGATCCAACTCCTCCAGAAATCGCGGTCCAACCCCGCGGCCCCACCACCAGGGCCGCCACGGGGGCAGAAGGCGTCCAGCTTCGCCACGGCTCAGCAGCCGCTCGAACGCCGCCTTCTCATCCGGTGACAAGCTTTCCCAGAGTCCAGAAAGGCCGCCGGGCCGCGGGCCGGGCCTGAGGCCTATTTCCTCGGGCTCATCCTCGGCCTCGCGTTGTTCGCGCAGCCGTCGTAGTGCGCCCGCCAGACGGCTGGGCGAGGCGCTCCGGCCACGTAGCTCTCGTAGCACCTGGTCGCGGTAGAAGTCTTCGGCGCAGGAGCCATGAGCCCGGTAGCAGCGCAGCGAGCAGTAGGGCGCGTTGCAGCGCGGGCAGGTGTAGCGCGCCGGCAGCGCTTCCCCTACTGGGCAGAAGCCGCAGAGCCCTACGGGCTCCATGGCAACTGGCACCGCGTGTCGGGCACCACACAGCCGCCACAACTCCGCCACTTCCGGTCCTTCTTCGGTTATTTCCGCCTTTGTGCGTGGGGCGACGTAGCCTACTTTCAGCACTTTCCCGAGGTTTCTCGGTAACTTCCGTTTCTAGTAGCCCTTTGAGCATGCGCAGAAGACGCCCAAGTACTAACGCGGTGGCTCAGTTCGAAAAGATTAATGTCGCTGATCCCAGCTTGTTCACTGTGGCTTTACCAAATTGTGCAAAAATAAATTACTTTTTAAGCAAAACCAACAACAAAAATATCTAGGATCTTAGCAGGGTATAGTGACACACGCCTTTAATCCCAGCACCTGGTCAGCAGAGGCAGGGTGGTTTCCAGGTCTACATAGTGAGTTCCAGAATATTAAGACCCTGTCTCGAAAACACCCCCAAAATTAATAATGAAAACCCCATGAGAATGAAGTCATAAACCAGGGGTGGTAACAAATCTGGAGATATACACATACCATATCAACAAAACAAACTGGGGCAACCCAAACCCCCACCACCGCCAGAGGCTTTCCTGGAAGTAGCTCTGTAGACCAGAGTAGCCTGTCTAGATCTGCCTGCCTCTCCAACACAGAACTGGGATTAAAGTGATGTACCTACCACTACGCATGGCTCACAGCCTACAGTCTTGTACTTTTCCTCTAGAAAGAACCTGAGTTGGGGATCTGAGTTCCTGGATTTGATCCTTGAGCACTGCTCAAGCCAAGTGTGGTAGCCTAATAACATTTGGGAGGCGGAGGAACAATTATTTAGTCCAAAACTAGCCTCTGCTTCAGTTTGAGACCTTGCCTCCAAATCCTAATAACCCAAGTTCCATCCCTGGAACACCCCTGAATGCTGTCCTAACCTCAACATGAATGTGGGACCTACCTACACTCACTAGAGTAAAAAAGCTAATGGCTAAATAAGGCAAGAGTCTGAGTCACTATTCACATACCTACAATGGGCCAGACACTGGTTGCAATGCATTTTACAGTTTGACCATTATCTCTCAGAACGTTTAAATGGGGGTCTGGGTTTACTGGAAGCCTATTGCTAAGGGTTGAACCAGTAAGCATCAAGTTCAGCCAGACAAAATCAGGATGCCAATGATCTCAGGCAACACCAATTTCCAAAGCTGAAGGACTCCCATGCTCCTTGGATTTGATAGTACAGTTGGTCCCAAATTCAGTAAAAACCAATTCACCTCCTACCCAAGGCCTCCCTTCCCTCTAAAATCACTGCCTCTATAAAATACTAAATCTAAATCTGTTTTGGTTGAGATAGGGTCTCTATGTAGACCACAACCACAGGTGGCCTTGAAATCAGATCCACCTGCCTCTGCTTCCCAAAGTGCTTGGACTAAAAAGGATGTGCACCACCACTGCCCAGGAGCTGACCCTTACAATTACAGATTCTCATTTACCCTTCCCAATGGTCAGGAGCTCTTCACCAGCCTAAAAGTTGTTTCTTCCTAAGGCCTCACAAATAAAGCAGTAACATGTTTGGGCAAAGTGGCTTTATTAGAGTGCCAGAATCACAATAGGACTTAGGAGTTAGCATTGGGGCCCTTCTTCTTGCCAAAGCTGGGCACGACATTAACAAAACGACGGTTATACTGCATTCGCCGCTTGGCCCGACCAGTCTTCTTCTTTTTCTTCTCTTGTTTGGCCACCTGGAAAAGGGAAGGACGATGATAAGAACCTTGTTATCCTCTCCCTTGCCTGGCATCCTTCCCACCAGCTGGCCTCCAGGAAAGAGAATACAAACAGGTAAATCAAAGGTCTTGATTTTGCTGCAATAGGAAAAAATAAAGTCCAAATACCAATTCTGGCACTCACTCACCTTGGGAGTTTGACCTCTTACTTTTCCAGCACGAGCCAGGGAACCATGAACTTTACCTGTGTGGGGAAGGGAGGGAGGCAGCAGGTAAGAAGCAACGCTCTGCCCAGCACAATCCTTACTCTTGGGCTTCTAATGACAAGTTTGATTTTAACAAGGAGTGAAACCAAGTTGCAGAGATTTAGGGATGGGAGCCACAGAATAGCTATCCTGGGTTGGTTCCCACATTAACACACTGTGGCCAGTTTGTTCAGTGCTGAGGGTTGATGTATACTAAGACAAGGACTCTATCCTTCGTATTCTACAGACAAAACAAAGACTGGAAGCCTGATTTTGACTGTCATTGTTCTTTTTTTCTGACAGGGTTTCTCTGTGTAGCTCTGGAATTTGCTTTATACACCTGCCTGTCTTCCAAATGCTAGCATTTTGATTTTACTGGGAACCAGTCTGGTTAGAAACTCAAATACCACTCTAGAAGGCACAAGTGTATTGTCGCAGAAGCGAGCTGACACACTCTATTAGTTCAGTGAAAAAGTACTCACCTCCCAGCATGCGACCAGCTACTTCCAGAGTGGTGAGGGCCTCTACGCCACACTGGCCTAGGGTGGCCTCATCCTCCAGCGGCGAGCCAGCCAGAAGCAAGACTTGATCTTCCGGGGAAATGCCTTCCAGTGAGGCCACATGAACCTACAGAAAAACAAAAAAACAAAAACAAAAAAAACCCCAAAAACCAATGTTTATATGTAGACAAGCTTTACCTGCGGGTCTGGGGATAAAGGAGCACAGTTGGGTGGAATCAAAGAGAATCACACACTTACTTTGATCTGGGCGACCGTCTCTTGGCCGGTCACCTCAAGAGTGTGTAGTTCCTGGGCGCGTACAAAGAGCTGCATTTTGGCGACTGAAAAAAAAAAAGAAAAAACAGGCTTCTGAGATAAGGAAAGATGCGTCCCATGTGAAAGGAGACCAGGGGGATGGGAAGGGGACAGGAGATTGCGCTGTCTCACACGCGGAAGGCCGAGCCCGCCAGGGATCTGAATCAGGCTGGGAGAGCGGGCCGCAGAACAGCCCTTGTCCCTTGAGTTCCCCGCACTCCCTCGGCCCGCAGTCGCCCTGCTTTCGAGCGCTGCAAGTTTAGCTGTCCCCCGCCCCCCAAGTCTCACCTAACTCTCGGACGCCGAAGCTGCTCCCGCGAAGATGGAGTCAAGAAAGAGGAAGAAGCGAGGGCGCGCACGTCCTCAGCGCCTGCCGCGTGTCACGTCACTGTTGCGCGACCGCGCAAATTGCTTGTATTTGTGCCGCCCACCGCCGCTCTAGTCTTCCCCTTACGCATTACGCAGGCGTTCTTTCCCGGTGGGCGGAGCGCGCTGCAGGAGGGGGGCGGGACCGAACCGGTTGCGCGCGCAGATGGTACGCGCATTAGGTCAATCCAAGATGGCGGCCTCTGTGTTTCTAGCTGCAGTGCGTGACTCCGGGCGCTCCCTCCGATGGAGCTACGGGCTACGGCAGCTGGTGAGAGTTCGGAGCTGAGGGCAAAAGGCTTGTGTGTGAGCCTCACTGTCACTCATGACATCCCTGAACTCCGCATTCCCTCCCGAGGCCTTGGTTTTCCTGTACACTCGGGTTGACACTTGAGGGTAGATGCAGGATGGAGAGGGCAGGTGACAGCTTGGGCAGTCTGGGTTTTGGAATGGGGCTGCCGCATAGCTTGAGTTGGTTAGGACCGAGAGCTACTGCACGTTCCTTCTCGGTGCCTGATCGGATTAAGCACCATATTCGGAGCTAAAGAGTTTCAACGCCATGTTCAGAAAAAAATTACTAAAGAATACTATATGGATTAGTCTTACGATTAATTGGCTTTTCAGTAATATGCACGTTTGTCATTTGGATCCTGGAGAAATCTTGGGATTCAGACTGTTTGAGCTGCTTTTCCAGTCCCCGTGTCCGCCTCCCTCCGGCTCCGTCTACCCCCCCCCCCCCACTTTGCACTCTGGAAAAGTCTGGTTCTTTCCGAACTCAGGTCTTTATACTATTGTTTCTGCCTGGTTCTTTACCTACTAAAGACCTTCCGTGTTGTGTGAACTAATGAAAAAATGATTTGTTTTGCCCTAGAGCCAAGCTCAGGGCCCTCCTGATAACCCCAGCTTTCTGGAATCTGTGGATGAATACCAGTTTGTGGAGCGCCTGTTCCCACCTACCAAAATCCCAGCGCCACCAAAGCATACACATTATCCCACTCCTAGTGGCTGGCAGCCTCCCAGAGGTGAGCTCAATGATGGCCCTAGTTTGAAGGCTGTAGAGAGGTAGGCCTTTTGCCCCAGCTGAGGCTTTGGACTTTCCATTGGATTTAAAAGTGCTGTTGAGATGTAGGCGGATTAGTATTGTCTCATCCCCAGGGAAGGGCCCAAGATCAGAACCCTGTTTTACTGGGGTGAAGTCTTCCCTTGTGGTGAGAAAGCTCCCAGGCCAGCTGACCATGTGCAATAGCGAAAGACAGTCCTGGTTTGAACTTGGCTCTGCCCTTGGTGTGACTTTATTAGTCATGTAGCTTCTTCTAATTTCAAATTCAGCAAAATGGGTATAACTTGCTCAGCGTATAAAGCCTTTAATACAGAGTCCAGTGTGTGATTATGTTTATAAAATCCCATTGCCACTACCAGGTTTATGCCAGCTGGAGCTACAGTCTCAAAAACAGCAAATCAAACAACCGAACCAAAAGAATCCCTTTAACTCCCATGTCGGTTACAAAAATTATCAACTTCAGCTGGGTGGTGGTGGTGCACGCCTTTAGTCCCAGCACTTTTTCGGGAGGCAGAGGCAGGCTGATCTCTGAGTTTGAGACCAGCCTAGTATACAAGAGCAAGTTCCTGGACAGACTCCAAAGCTACACAGAGAAACCTTGTCTCAAGGGGGAAAAAGTTATCAACCTCACTGGGTCAATGGGAAAGGAGAGAGTAGCCCAAAGGGGGTTTTCCCAGAGATCCAGGGAGATATACTCTAATTACTTATGTATTTTGTTTTTTTCCCTGAGACAGGGTTTCTGTGTAATCTTGGCTGAATTAAAGGCGTGGGCCATCATGCCTGGTTTCTGACTTTTCTTTTTGAGACAGTGTCTAATTGTAGCTCGAACTAGCCTTGAACTACCTACATATTCTAGGCGTAAATAGTCATGTCCAGTTCATTTCTTCTTGAGCACTATGGTAGCAGGCCTGGGTGGTGCCTTATAGCACTAAGGTGAAAGTTCAGTCCTAACTAAACTGAAGGACAAAGGAGATGCCCTGACCTGAAGTCTGGAGGTAGTTTTTTCCAATAGGATTTAATGACCCTCTATAGCCAGGTGCAGCAAGCTTGAAATCCTTGTATTTGGGAGGTAGGAGGATTAGGAATTCAAAGTCATGCTTAGCGGTGTTTGAGGCTAGCTCAGGATTCAGGAAACCTTCGTCTCAAAGCAAACACAAAAACTCCCACTATAACCCTGCAGTTTTTGTTAGGGGAAGGACCTTGGTTGAGGCCTAGGGTAAAATGGCTTCCTATCCCAAACCCCTTTACAGATCCGCCTCCTAGCTTGCCCTACTTTGTTCGGCGATCCCGGATGCATAATATCCCTGTCTACAAGGACATCACACATGGCAACCGACAGATGACTGTGATCCGTAAGGTGGAAGGGGACATCTGGGTAAGTGGCTTGGGTCTGTTCCTGACCCTTCCAGGGTTGAAGGGGAGGACCCCTGGAATTAGAAACTGCTGACTGGAGTTATCTTTATCCAGGCTCTACAGAAGGATGTGGAAGAATTTCTGACCCCCCAGCTGGGAAAGACACCTGTCACCCAGGTTAATGAGGTGACAGGTACTCTTCGAGTCAAGGGCTACTTTGATGAGCAGCTTAAAGCCTGGCTTCTTGAGAAAGGCTTCTGAGGCCTGATGATCAGCCTGTGTTACATTTCTTAGGTTAGCTATTCTGGAAACAACCACTGAACCATGTTCTGAGGCCTTCACAGGACAGACCCCTCAGGGACATCCATCTTTGGCCTTCAGGAGCTTTTGCTATACTGGGCTTGGTGGCAGATATGGAAAACAATACAACACAGGACATGGACTGGAATGGATAAAACAGACAAAAGTATATCTTAGTTTCTAAGTACTGTTATAGGTAGTGTTGAGGACATCAGCCTGTTATGCGGAATCAGCTACATAGAGGTTTGAAGGCAGAAAATGAAGGCCTTTCTCTCTTGCTGTCCCATCCCATATCAGTCACTTGTCCAGCCCCACCATTAAATTGATTAAGCGGTGTTCAGATCCTGGCTACCCTGCTTGACTTTAGACCTAAGGTAGGCAAGATACCAACCTCCCAGTGCTCAGGTTTTCCATGTGTAAGATGAATGTATGCCTAGTGGTTGAATGGTCTCGGCATCCTCATTCTAGGAGACCACAGGCCTTTCATAAGTCTACAGGCTGGGCAAAGAAAAGGAGCCCATCCTAAGTTATAAGCCTCACTGGTCATTAATGCAAGTTTTTATTTGGCTGTATATACAATGTAAGCTATTAAAATTTGTACAATATTTACAAATTAAATAATCATCTGAAACTGTCTCCAGAAATTCCTGTAACACAAAACCAAAAGGAAGAAGCAGCTAGGTCTTGGCTCCATCATCCCTGCCTGGCCCAGAGCCTGTTCTAAACCTAGCCTCACTCCAGCTCCTCCTTCCTGGGGTCAAGCATTCAAATCAAAAAGACAAAATTTAAGCCAAAAAGCCACCTAGATACAGAAATAGTTCAATCCTGAACTCAAGTCCCACAGGTTGGAGGTGGCCTGCCTCCGATTCTGGGGAGCAGTGGTTAAGGAGCAGCACACACCCTCAGCCAGGCCCACCAGGCAGTGGCTGCTGGGTGAGATGGGGAAGGAGCCTGGGTAGGGGCAGGACAGGGTCCCTCAGTGCTGCCCGCCTGTCCCCCACCCCCAGGCACTCCTTTCCCTGAGTTGTGTGGTTGCCAATAAGACATGGAAGTGCCACAGGGCTTAGGGGGCACAGCCACCATCACAAAGGGGTTTCTGGGAAGATTGGGGTAGAGGAAGGAGACTGGTACCAGTCTTGGCAGGGGTAGGGCAAGGTCCTGGTCTGTCTTCAGCCCCTCTGGGTCTCCACACTTGGGAACAAGCTAATACTGTTCGGCACTGCAGCATGGTCCCACACTCACTAGCAGGGCTTGGAGGGGCTTCACCTCACAGAAAGCACAGGAGAGGAGGCTTCCCAGAGGCTCAGCCTCTACTTTCAAGGCCCCAGCAGAACACAGCAGAGTGGTAAAGGAAGGTTAGAGCTGAACAACATCCTCGCAGCTGCCAGGGCCATCGGGGACAATCAACTGGGAACCCAGCACTTCTCCTTGGCCTCAGAGGTCCTGCCACTTCTTTCTCAGCTGGGGGTTACTACTCCCTGTTGCAGACAGGGAGCTGGCACTTGGTGGCAGGACTTGTTCCAGAGAGGGCCACTTGAGAGCAGGGCCAGGGCCAGGTCTGGGCAGTGTCAGTGGGCAACAGGAGACTCCAGCTTTTGCAGGCGGCGCCGGCGAAGTTCTGCAGCATCTGGCTCTCCATCCTCAGGAATCTCCTCTGCAGCACCCACTGACTCAGGAGCTAGACAGAGAAGTCAGAAGTAAATCCTAGAGAATCCTTCATTCTTACCCCTCAAGGTTAATCACACTTACCAGGAGGCTTTTCAACTTCAGGGACTGGTGGGGAGGCTCCAGGAGATGGGGTAGGGACCTCAGAGCTGGGGGCACTGGTGGAGGGAGCAGCAGATACTGCAGAGGCAGTCTCTTCAGTGGGGTTGACTGAAGTAGCTGGCCTAGGAGGCCTGCAAGAGAAGAGACAAAAGAGGCTTGATCTTGGCCACTGTGGTTTAGACAGATTTTCCTACTAAACACGAGCCTTGCAGGAAAAGTTCTAAGGCAAACTACCCGAGTTCTTGTGAGAAGCAGACATAGGTGAACACATGTGTTCAAGTCTCAGGTGATTCAGACCTGTAGACTGTGAATCATTTAGAGGCAGTAACAGCTGATCCATCTCACATAGTCTTCACTCAAAGAGCTGGGCACCTTAGAGGGCTTTCCTGGGAAGTTGGGTGTTCAAGCCTTGGAGCCTTGGACTACATCTACCTGCCAGCCCTTTGCACATGTCACCTATGAATGGGAATTTGATTTCTATTCCAATGTAAAGTAAGTTTTTTGATTTTTCGAGACAGGGCTTTTCTGTGTAGCTTTGTAGACCAGGCTGGCCTTGAACTCACAGAGATCCACCTGTCTCTGCCTCCCAAGTGCTGGGATTAAAGGCGTGCCCCACCAACATCCAGCTATAAAGCAAGTCTTCAAGCAAGCAAGCAATGAGATTAGCACTTGAACATGGCACTGGCTAATTTGAAGTAACTTTCTATTATCTGTTCCCTCAGTGTCAGGAGTGTGCAGTGATAAGCTTTAGCAGCCAATGAAAGAAATAATTTGAGTTTAGAAAAACATGAATAAATTTAAAAGTCAGCTTGCTAATAAATACTGACTCTACACAGATGTAGAGTCACACTTCCTTGAAAGAAGGGATGAAAGCACTAGACATGACCAAGAGCTCCCGGACATGCCTCTAGATAGGTTGCCTAAGGCAGCAGAATATGTTACAGGGTACACAGAAGACAAATGTCAAAAACTACAAGGGGACCGCTTTTGAGCGCAGCTAGAATCTGGTATGCATACCCCAAGGAGGCCAGCACAGTGAGGTACTGGTTGATTTGCAGCATGGCAGCATCCAGCAGAGTGTGTATGTTGCGCAGACTCTGCAGCCGGGCTTCCAGGTGCTGCCGCTCATGGCCCTCCAGTGCCCGCAGCTCCTCTGGGGTCAGGCCAGCAAAGCCCGCAGGAGGCACAGGCATTGGGGGGAAGGCTGGCAGGAAGCAGAGGTCAGTCTTAGCTACCTGGGGCTGACTTTTTTACCCTGAACATCCCAGAGAGTAACCAACTTACCAAAAGGTGGGGGTAGGGGCATACCCATCCAAGGAGGAGGGAAGGGGAAGCCAGGGGCAGGCCCAGCCTCTGGGCCGGGGACAGAGCCAGATGTTGGGGCAGAGGTACTAGTGCTAGCAGCTGTGGTGGTGGCTGTTCCACTGGGCCGAGAAACAGCTGGCAAAGCACAAAAATGAAAATCAGTCTTAAAGTCTCTAGACATGACTGCCACCCCCAGTTGCCTTAGCATGCAAAAGGCTTACCTGCACTGGTGGATGGAGGAGCTGCAGCCTCTCCTGAGCTTGGGGGAGGTGGGACAGGTGGAAAGGGGCCCATTGGGGGCCACAGTGGGAACATGCCTGGAGGAAAAGGAGGCAGGAGGCCCTGGGGGACTGCAGAGAGAAAATGGAAGTGAGTACAGGGATGAGCTGACAGTTCCCACTCCCAAGCAAATAGTTTGGCTACTAGGTGCTGACCACTCCTACAGGTACCTGAGCTTACCACTAGTCATTTATCTATTTCTCATCCCTTCCTGTTCAGAATGAACTTCTGGAGGGCAGACAAAACGTTGTCAATACCAAGCCCAGGGCAAGTATCTGAGGGCAGGGAAGGTCCTCTGAGGGCAAATGAATGACCACTTACAGTTGGGAGGCTGTGGCAGAAGTGGTGGAGGATGAGGAGCAGGGGGTGGTCCTTGGTCAGCAGGCTCGGGGGGTGGTGGTGACTGGGCTGGCAACGATGCCCTCAACACATCCATACGGCAGGTCGGGCAGGTCTGCTGCCGCTGGAACCAGGAGCGCAGGCAGCTGGAAGGTCAGACAGTGGTGAGCAGGTCCCCATGAGCCTGTGCCCAATGTGCAGGTGCCCTAAACGCTCTCCCACCTGGTATGGAAGATGTGGTTGCAGGGCAGTCTCTTAGCACCTGTCACCATTTCTTCGCGGCAGATGATACAGACATTATCCATTGCCTGAAGCTCCTCAGGGGTGGCATCTGGGTACCTGGATAAGATGGTAGAGCACATGTCAGGACCAAAACTTGGAACAAAGGGATCTAGGACAGAGTTTGGGAAAGGAAACAGGATAAGCCCACTTACAGTGTGTTCATGTTGCGGATGGCTCGGCGAGACATGATGGCATCTGTCACTGCTTTCTTGAACTGCCTGAAGAGACAAGTCAGTGAGTACAGGAAGACAGATGGGAGAGATCAGTCTGGGACAGTGAAGGGACAAGGCTGGACTCACCTCATAGCCAGGTACATGGGCCTAATGGCAAAGAGTGGGAAGGTGTGCACTTTGATCATAATGGTCATGAAGGCCATGTACAGCAGGACCTTGATGAAGCCTGGGGGGGGAGGGGGAGATAGAGCACAGCTGGCCACATAGCTGCAGGCACACAGGGGATGCTGGTGTGGATCAGGAGAGGCCCAGGCTCCTGTCACCTGTAAACAGCTCCGTGTAGAGCATGTACACAGCCTTATTGTCCCACGGGTTCTCGCTCTGGAGGTCCACGGAGTGCAGCACATACTTGATGAAGATGGTGAGCACCATGGTCATCAGAATGGCATACTGGAGGGAGGGACAGAAGACGAATGTAAGCACCAGCTTCCCCTTGCCTAACCAGGCTCAGGCTTTAGCACAGCAGGTACAGCATTACCAACACAGGCTTTGGACACAGATGAGGTCCTCACAGCCTAGGACTAAAGCAGTGGGGTCAACCTCTGTTCATTTGTAAAACGAAGCACCCACTACCATCTACAACAACCGTTGGTTTTGTTGATTATGAGATGTAACTCATGCATATAAGGCATGGCATGCGGTAAGTACTCAGCAAATGTGAGCTGGGACATGTCTCCTGGGTGATCTACCCAGCAATTTTCTCCTATCCATCCATAGCCAGCTGTGGCACCAGCCTCCGGGAAAGCTTGCTAAGGTGCCCAGGTCAGGAATCCTTTTTTGTGCCCTTCTGCAGTCATTTAGGAGTGTATGAGGGCAGGCAGAACTAAATGATGGCTGCTCCCTGGTAGTCAGTATGGTGGTGGAGATACAGCAGGTACTCCATTTGTAGGATTTGTTGAAGCATTTGTAGGATTGCTCACATGCAGTACCACCTCAGCTTTGTTCCCACACTCAATCTCTCAAACAAGTTTTACCTCAAAGCCAAACACCAGCTGCACAGAAGCCCCCCGGGTCAGGATGCTATGATAAGCGTGGCTGACAAAGAGGAAGTCCAGGATACCCAGGAGGAACATAAGAGCTGTGGAGACCCCCCCAAATGGAGGCAAGTATGGTTAGCACAGGCTTGACAACCACTTCTTGCTCTACGGCAGTCCACCCTCATGTCTATCTTGGCCATAGACCCAGCTATCTATTCAGATGTATATACCCAAGTGGAATCAGCCCTCTGGGAACTACTTTTGCCCAGGCAGGGTGTTGGGGCAACCCAGGCCCAGGGGAAAAGGCAGAAAGCTGAGGGCCCAGGCAGTTGAGAAGCTCTGGAGTGGAACAGGGTAGAGACTATGCAAATTAACTTCTTAAATTATCTTTCCTGTTCAGCTGTCCTGAAGGGCAGCCAGGGCTCTGGGGTACTGGCTCAAAGTTTTTG